CCATTAAAGAAACACCAACAACAAAGATCAAACACGGCAAAGCAAAAAAAAGTTAAAAAAAAGTCAATAACAGTCGGCTTCCTGCTCATCCATAATTCTCACGAATCCTGCAAGAAAGCAAGTAAAGGCATAACTCAATCGAAAGTTTACATATCAAATTATCAAGTTTCTCCTTCAAATTTCAAACATTCCACTAGAGATTGAGGAACTCAATGTAGAATAGCTTTTCAAAACTAAATTGCCCCAAAACACCTAAAAACTAAAATCAAAACAACAACACAATCCAGATTCGCCTTCAACATTCTAAATCACAGCGAAAGAAATATAGGAAAGTGGGTTTACCAATACCCTTTTGATTATGTCTTCAAGACATCAACTAGAGATAGAGAGAGGTGGAGGTGAAAAAAGGTAATTTAAAGAAACAGCAACTCGGAAAAGGAAAACGTAAATGATGTGATGGGCCAATTTCATAATGCCCTGTACTTGGGTGATGTCAAGGAGCGTGTCAAGATTTTGGAGAATGCTGGCCATTTGCCCCTTGCATATGTTACTGCTGCTGTCCATGGTCTCCAGGATGTTGTTGAACGTCTTGCAGCTGAATTGGGAGATAATGTTCCAACCTTGCCAAAGGGGAGAGTACTATCACTTCTGATGCCTCCATCACCTATTCTCTGTAGAGGAGATTGTCTGTTGAGGGTTATGAAAGGTATCTTTGAGGGTGGGCTGGATAATGGAGGGAGGGGTGCAGAGGAAGATGATGAAGAGGCTGTTGATGGTGATTGGGGTGAGGACTTGGATATTATTGATGCAAATGGCATGCAAAATGGTGGCATTGCTGTGGTGGTAGATGATGGAGAAGGGGAAGAGAGAGAGAGAGAGAGAGAAGAGAGAGAGGGAGAGAGAAATGTGAAGGAATCTAAGGTAGAGGGGATTATTGCCGCTGTTGTTCGTGAATCGTGAGGTCGGGGACGATAAACAGTGATTTTCTCCCTTGTCTGAATAATTATTACAAAGGTAATATGGAGATTAAAAAATATTATAATGGTCTTTTTGGATGAAAGGCTAACAGAAGGGAGTCTTTGTCTCACGGTCATAGTACGGGGAGGTCTTTATCGCAAAACAAACTACAGGGGGGGTCGGAGGGGATCTTTGTAATTTACCCTTCTTTTAATCTATAGTCTATAGACGAAGACAGCTAGATAATCCACTGTTTCAAGAGAAGATTAAAGTGGAAGTTTATAGTAGAAAAACTCTTCCTAAACCCATGAGATAATTCTTTAATTAACGAAAGGACCCTTGCACCAAAAAACTAACACATGAAATATGAACGATATAAAACCCAAGATCCCAAAATCCTTCACATCCCTAAGCTGTGTTTGGCTTCATAGATAATAGGTATTGCCTTGATTTGATAGAAAATAAGAGAAACAGCAAGAGAATTTGACAAAGTTAACAACTTTTCCCTCAACTTTCTGTTTGTTTTTCTCTCTTATTTTTCTATCAAATCAAACATAACTTAAAGGTTTCTCATGTAAGAAATGTCTCTAAAGTTATCCCAAAAGCACATTTTTATAGATGTATAATGAACCAATCATGAAAGGATTTTATTAGATTTTATTCACAAATCATAGAGAACTCCATTAGCATGCAAAGGGTCATGGTTTTAAAAATGAATCAGAAACAGAACCGGTTAGGGGGCCGGTTTCCAGTTAAACGGTTCAATCATCCGGATCAAACGGTTTGACCTGTGATGTCATAAATAAATTAAAAATAAAAAAATATTTATAAATAATAAAAAATAACATAAAATTAAATAAAAAACAAAAAAATACAGAAAATAAAACTATCTAAATAAAAAATAATACAGTACAAAATACATAAAAATAAAATAAAAGAAATCTAAAAATTACACAAAAAACACAAAAAAAATAAAAAAAATAAAACAAAAAATACAGAAAAAAAACTCTAGAATGTTAAGTCCTAAAATGCAAAAATCCTTTACCTAAAATCAAGATTCACAGAGATAGATTCCCCTGGCACCAAAATAAAAGGGGAGAAATATGAGCATTCACTCGAAAATGTTAAATTGCTATGCAACCAAAATTGATCGGTAAAAGGCTTCAATACACATTAATTTTACCTAATTGATAAAAAAATTACACTAATTTTTACCTAGAAGTGCTGCAAACTCGCCTGCCATAAAGCCTAGAAGTGCTGCAAATTGCAAAAAACGCTAGCTGTTGCCGGTCGCCGTTAATCGCGATCGGTCGGTGTGTGTCGCCGTCGAACGCTGGAGGTGTTGGCCGTCGCAGGTGGTCAGTTGGGTGTAAGGGATGGCCGCCACTGCAAACTTGCCTACCGCAAAGCTTGGAAGTGCTGCAAATCGCAAAAAAACGCCGGCCACCGCTGCAAATTCGCCGTCGCCAGTCGCCATTAATCACCTTCGGTCAGTGTGTGTCGCCGTCGAACGCCGGAGATGCTAGCCGCCGTAGGTGGTCGATTGGGTGTGAGGGAGGAGGGAAGAACGAAAAGGGGGTTCTAACCCTACATTTGATTAATTGATTTGGGATGGGGATATTAAAGGAATTTTATTTTTTATTTTATTTAAATCATTGAAAATAAGAAAGAGAACCCACAAACCACTACCCGGGTCGAACGGTTAAGCGGTCCGACTGCCCGGGTTAGCGGTTTTTTGAGTTTTTCAATGTTTTTTAAGATTTCCAGATTTTAGTGTAACCGGACCAGGGGACCTGACCAGTTACCGGTTTTGAAAACCATGCAAGGGGTAGCCTAGTCCACAAGGATCCAACCAATGCAGAGTTAGGGGAGGAACATATGTACCCAACCTTACCCTGTGGATTCGCAGAAAGGGTGTTTCCAAGATTTGAACCCTTACCACCCAGGTCAAAATGGAGCAATTCATCCCTTGTTTTGTAAGAAATAAAATTATTTAATAAGATTTAAAGAGAAAGTAAAATAAAAAAAATGTAACCCCCACTTTATATGAAAGAGAAATAAGGTAGAAAGAAGGTGGTATAAATTTCGCATTAATTTTTAAGATGCAAAATTTGCATTACTAATAAATGCAAATCTTATATCAGATAAAAATAGAAATCATGATTGCAAAATTCATATCTGGTTCAGATTTACACTGCAGATAAATAGAGCGAAAGGCAAATTTAAACAAAGTGGGTTAAAAGGCTGAACTGAGGTCTAAAAATAACCACAAGTACCCAAACGAACTCAGCCTAGAAACTTTTTAAAAAATATGCCAATGGAGAGATGAAGGAGACTATCATGGTCCCGTACCGATCCACCCATCCAAGTGCCCGACTATAGATTAAATATGATATTTTAGTGGGGCAAAATCCAAAATTTCAAGGGCAAACCTACTGTGGCCCACCAGAGAGGCAGTGATGGCAAGAGAATATGTGATTCTAGATAATAATAACAAAGGCTGGAGGAAATTTTGGCTTGAAGGCGATTGAAAGCTTTCATTAGGCGTCTTCAATGCAATCTTTCACCTAACATGGTACACTTGGAAGATAGTTGCTTTGTCTAGCTTTGGATATTCAATTAACCCAACCACCGACAGAGTTGCTGAAAAAGCTTGAAATAGAACTTTGTGATTTGTTTGCGAGCATAAGGGTTTGGAATTGGAATGATTCCAATTGTTTGGTTGGGTGGTATTGAAATCTTATTCCTATTCTTGGTGGAATGACATTCTTCAATTTTAGGGTAAAGAATGAAAATTCATTCCAACCAATTTTTGATTCCGATTCTATTCTAATCTGAACTAAACAGGTGAGGAGAATAGATAATTCTAATTCTGATTCTGAATCAAACGGACCAAGGAGGATAATAAATTAATAGAGCGATATCTATTACCGTTCATATTTGCGTTACTGATCATTGTGAAAAGAAATAAAGATCTTGTGATCTCAACAATGTTGATAGCTATATCGCAATGTATTGGAGCATATCGAAGGATATGTATCGTGTTTCAGGGTCACGAATACGTTAGGCCTATTTGATAGTTTTAAACGCTAACAATCTTTCTTAACATACGTATCTCTTAATTATGAGACCAAAAAGCCAAAAACAAGAGTATCGAAGTTGGATTCAGTTCAATGGCCAAACTGAATACACATAACAGGAGAGCGAATATGTTTTTTCATGATCAGTGGCAGAAAACCCAATTAAGGTCAACCGTAGGATCAATTGGAACAGTTTAGGCTTTATTACTGATTTTCTTCTCTATTTTTAACACATACACAGAAGAAGGGACTGTTGCATAGGAGTGTCAATGGACTGATTTTGGATTGGACCCCATCCAAACTAAAATTAATTTGGACAGATTGGACAGACCAACAAGACATATTTAATTAGACCAATCTAGAGTTAATGGTCCAAAGTATTTTATTGGATTAGATTGAACCTTGTCCATCCGAAATGAATTTATATTGGATTGGGTTGGATTGAGACAATATCTGGTCCATTGATAGAAGGAAGATAAGAATGTGTCAATAAACCAGGTTTGGGTTAAAGTCGATCTAAATTAAAACAAACTTGAACAAGGACACAAAATGGTCCAAAATGATCCAAAATATTCATTGGATTGGATTGGACTAGACCTGGTCCATTTGTAATGGATCGGATTGGACCAAATCCAGTCCAATTGACACCCCTACTGTTGCAGGGATACCAAATTAGAGAATACTTGTGTATTTTGTGTGCACTCAAGAATGACAGATCTTGTGGTCCATTACCTTTAAGCTTGCATTACACGGCCTTCCAAGTTTCAATTAATACTTCGTATGGAGGAATCTCTGGTTCCCTTGGGATAGAAGATGACCAGAAGAAGAGCCTTTACAGTTACAGTCACAAAATTAGGCACACTTCGTCAAAAACCAACCTTCTGTGTGTGGTTTGATGATTTTAACCACCTAAACTATCACCTTCTTTTGGACCATTTGAGGAGACCAGACAGTCCCAAAGAAAAATGGAAGTTGTACTTACTACTTAGTCCATAGACAGGATGGTCAGCTTTTTTGCATAGGTGGGGTTCCTGAATGATGAGAAGTTGCAGAAATTATCCATGCTCTGTGGATGATGGACGATTGCATTTTGCCATATAACAATATCCTCACTGCATTATTATGATTTATGATGAGTATATATACGACATACATATGCATGAACATACTAAGGAGTGAATCATTGACTCGCTTCTGGGCTTAGACGTGTCTTCTAAATCACTTTTCCGATTCAGTATCATACTGCATCAAAATCATTCCAATAAGAATATTCAGATATCGATGGACGATGATCATGAATTCAGAGTTTATACCAGTATTTGTGTTAACAGGTATGATTATGCTGCCTTCATCACCTTTGGAATTTTGAATGCCGTTGCATTTGAATTGACTGACGTTAGCAAGCTGACCATCAAGGAATGTAATACATAGGATTTGGAAGCTTGAAAGAGCGTTTGGATGGGGAAGAACCAAGTATGTCACTCCATTGGTCTCCAGAGTTCCCGAGAATTCTATATCCCTCATTCGCTATCTCAGTTCTCTTTTCTGACTTGTATAAAGTAGAAGTCTTTCCGTCATCATCCAAGCTTCTACATGAGTTCCAAATCAAAATTTCAGTTAGAAACTTCAAAGGGCACACTGATTTTGAAGATCAAAACCTCTAAACAAACAAATAAAATAAATAATGAAGACTCTCTCGAGTTAGAGCTTAAGATTCAAAGTTCTAAGATGTAAAGTCATTTGAATTATGAGTTTATATTAGAAAGAAAATCTATATGCTTTTCCCTTCACTTCATATTTATTTATTTATTTTTGTTTTTCTAATTGTAATCGGATGAAAGACAGCCAAGTTATGGTAGAACAACAAACCCAAGACCGAAATCAATTGCCAAAGAATAGGGAAAAATAGAAGAAAATGCGAACAGAGAAACTCAAGGAAAACACAGATTTACGTGGCTCGGCTTATAGCTTGCGTTCATGGGTGGAGGAGCTGAAATCCACTACGAAAACAGCAATGGAGAAATACAAAATTGTGTAAATACTCACACTTTCACAAAAACCTAAACCCCAATACACCCAGGTTCTCACTCTCAAACTTTCTGTCTTTTCCCGCAAGCCAATGATCCATATTCCATAAAAGAGAAAAGCCCCAATAACATAACATAAGGCATTTGGGTAGGACCTATAATCTGAAAATGGACCGGAGGCATACTTCCTCTACTTCCACCATAAACCACTATGAAATTTTGCCTTCAAGTTTTTCTCCACAAATGCAGAGGGGAACATGAAACAGGTCACAACAAGAATTAATGGCACAACATAATATTTTCTTATGATGGGCATATCCCTCAATTCCTAGCAATCCAATAGAGCTATAGGCACAAAAGTGCAAATAATGGGCCAAACAAACCTCAATGGGTTTGCCTCCATGGGCTTTACCTCCAAAGGATTGGCCCCCATTAAAACATTGAATGTATCAAATATCAGCATAAACCGATTATGTCAAAGTCTTTGGTTTGAGTATTATTTGTGTAGCATCTCTTTAAATTACCAACCCTACAGGACCTACCAAATGATGGATCTTGATCCCTAAAACATGGCAAATTATGGGGACCCTAGATCCATGTATCAGTCCTGTGTCTCTGACTCCCTAGATACAAGGCTTGGTCTATATAACATAAATGAAACTATCCAACCTAAAAATCAAATGAAACCATAACTCTTATACAAAAGATCACTCTGATAAGAAGATCTTAGCATCTGCAAACTGAAACTTTAGAGAGAGAGAGGGAGGGATGTAAGCATTCAGATGGCCAGATCTTTTGGTTTAATCAATTAGCCATTTTTTCTGGTTCCCTTTTAGCTAGGGGACAACAGTTCGGACAATCAATATATTAAATTATTAACCAAAATCAGTTGAGGGATATGACAAACTGAACTGAGAACAATAATTGAAACCAATTAAAGTTTGAATTGGTACCTCAACGTAAGCCTGTCCCAATTCTGAAATCCTGCATTTTTCAAATTCTTAACTGTAGCACCCCTCCGCCTTTCTTTCCGCCCACTCAACAAGAACACCTTGAATCCCAACCTCAGTACCTCTTCATACAGCTTTAAACTGGACTCTATGGCGGGTGAAATAGCCTTGTTCACCCATTTGTCGAAGTCGCGCCCATTGAAAGCCTCTGAACTAAAATTCCATAAGAACCCTAATCAGAACCCAATTTGCAGAAAACTTCATAGGTCCAATTAAGAAGAAAAGACAAATCAGAAATTCAAAATCCTACTAAGAGGAAGAAAAGATAAAGCAGAAATCAAAATCCTACTAAGAGGAAGAAAAGACAAAGCAGAAATCAAAATCCAAATAAGAGGAAGAAAGGACAAATCAGAAATCAAATTCCTCCAACACACATTACTACAAGGTCAAATTAAATTGCAAATATATAGGAAGAGAGAGCCCCACCCATAACCATGCTCGGCATAATACGGAAGAGTCGATAGCAGTGTGTCGTCGATATCAAAAACCCAGACGTCCTTCCCGTCCCCAACCAACTGGACACTCCTCGCATATGCAATCGCCTCCTGGGAGACCTTCTCAAGATCGATACAGTAACCCCTTCCCGTCATGTAGTCCTTCACATAACTAGCACATGCTGGAGCTGGAGGGATCGTCTTCCATGGGCTTAAGTTATTGGTCTCAACAGCAAACCTCCCGGTACATTTCAATTGCGGCTCTTGCCCGAATTCTTTCAACTCGATTTCCATTTTGTCAGGATATTAGGTGATTAACGCTCTGGGAAGGACGTGAGAGTCGAATTCTAGTGAGCGGAAACGGCTGAAGAGAGAGCCATTACGAGGGAGAAGAAATCCCAGAAAATTCATATGAAAAGACTTGTGGGATTCACAAATCAAAACCCCGGAAGTTAACGGAATTTATAGAGAAAAAGAGGAGAATCAGAACAGAAGAGAGAGAGTTGAGTTTTCGTTTGTTGATGTGACCATATCACCACAAGTCTGCATAAGCCAGGAATATTTTCTCATTTTCCGGCTTGAGAAAGGCACCGTGCGAATTTTAAAATGTAGTTGTTAATGGAGGGAAAGGGGAGAGAAAGTATTTTGTTGACTAGGGTGCCAGTCAATCCAGGTCGTTCAGTTGACTGACTAGCCTTGTTAATCGGTAGGCAATGGGAATACAGCCATATACAGGTGCCGAGGGCCACAGACTACAATTGTGGACAGTAGGAGCTGGCCAGAACAGTCATTGCTACCATGTATTGAAAACATCTGGAAAGAGGATATTGATCCGAATTCCAGTTATAGTTGGTTGAGGATCAGATCCCAATAAAGCGTTCCGACAATAGCTTTGAAATTGTGCATGGGAACATTTCTATGGCAAGATCAAAGATGAGATCACATCTGCACTCCACAAATGCTTCACACGTGTATTGAGAGCATTTCGTAAAGTTGTCACTGAGAGATTGTTTCCAATGCATGGTTGAGATATGTTGTGGGGTGTTTGTGGGATGCAAATATGAATTCATAAAAGATGTTCCCAGTATACAACTGCAATGACCGGGGCTGATAGTTGGGAGCCTTGTTGGTACTAAATCAGGTCTCGGTTGAACAACATTTTGAGGTGTATTTTAGGGTGAGGAAAGTTTTGTTTGGTTGCAGGTGAAAACGAAAAAACAAAGGCCTTGTTTTAGAAAAAGATTTGGATTGCACTTGGACGGATTTGGCCCAGTTGAAATTGTCATTAAGGCTCTTACTGTTTTGATTTCACTTGGCGTGTGTTTGGAATCGTGGGTGTTTATTGAATAAACGCTGCCACAAAGGCACCACTTCAGCATATCCCCATTGTGGATCCATACCCATACAAACTTGCAAAAGCAGGCCTTGATTTATGCGTGCCTATTGTTGGGGGAAGCTTCATTTTAGCGCTTCTCCCAATGGGTAGGTGTTTTATTCACTGTTTTTTTTGATGTGGTGCCTAATGGCACCTAAGTGTTAATAAACGGGTTTATTATTATTTTTTTCGGTTTTGCAAACAAATCAAATACAAATGTTTAGTAAATAAACGCCCACAGTTCTAAAACATACTTGGTAACATGGCACAAGTTTCAACTAGTGTGAAGTTTTTCAAAAAGTCATTTTACTAAAATGACTAAGTTTTTTGAGCTAGTGTGATGGAAATGGAGGTGGTGATGGAGATCACATCAGCGCCCCGCCCCACAGGGTGTGCCACATGCACATCTCAGCATGCATTGGGAACATCTCCATACTTGTCAATGGGAGATGTTCCCAATACACAGTCTGGATGTGCCGTGGGGCGCAGGTGTGAACTTGTAGTGATGGTATTTCTGATGCTCATGCTCTCCCACGTTTCACATGTATCTCTTAACCCTTTGTTTGGTTGGAAGAAGAAGGAATGACTTTTCTAAAAAAAAGATATTTCAATCTAGACCAAATCATTTTGTTGATTTTTCAAATGTTCAATTTTAAATTTTGGAACAGGAGGAAAATCAATAGGTGTGATCAAGGGGCGGGCCTGGGAGGGCTTTGGGCCCATTAAATGTAAATCACAGTTCACAAAGACCCCCCTTATACTATGGGGTCAGATCGCATGAGCTTTCACATTGTCACAAAGCAAAGTGTCAATCAGTTGGTTGGTAAGGTCTCCTGTTGGTTGTAGCAGAGACTTGGGATCAAATCCCACCTGCACATGGGTTGGGCAGGGGGACTTATGGATTTGGGGGATGGGCTACACCTATTGAAGCACTTTGTGACAAATGTTCACCTAAACTTTCCTTATTTTCTTTTCCTTGCCATTTTCTAACTCTAATTGACCAAAAATGCCTCCATTTCTACAAACAAAACCAGTTACAATAACAAGAATTATTTTAGTGGCATAGATTTTTTTTTTTTTTTTTTTAATTCTTGATTCATTTCACCAATATGAATGTCTCTCTTTATCTTAAAGTATAAAAATGATCCAATCCTTTCTCCAATAAATGAAGAAAAACCAAACAAAATCATAGCTTTGTATCTATCAAAAATAAACATCTACCATTTCATTTGAATATTGAATCCAACTAGAAATCTACAAGAATCTAGTGGAGCAATTAAGTGGACATCAATGTTATATTTAGAAGACTAAGCAAATAAGAAATACGTAGTTTGAGGATTTAAAAAAAAAAAAAAACAGCCAGATGAAAATCTTTTTTCTTTTTTTATTTTGTTCTAGAGCTACACAACAAGGGGTAACCCATCCCCTAGCTGGTTGGCACTTGGTACCTTACGAATGAGAACGTTTTTCAAAATTAACCAATAAAACTCTAACAGAGGAGGTATTTGTCAAAAACTTCAGGGAGGTATTTGTAATATAAAATGTTATTAATAATATGCTCATACTGTTTCTTTCAATATTGAACATTTAATACATCAATACTCCTGTTTTTTTTTATTCAATTCCATTAATAATTCATGAATAGATATATTAGGGGGTTTCTACATGGTTTTCAAAACATGATCAGGTCGGACAGTTGAATCTCAAAAACCGTTGATTTTGGTCAGTGAATCGTTGAACCGGACAATTAACCGTTCGACCCGATAACCGGACCCCTGATCGATATGATCTCCGGGTCAATTTTAAAAATCATGATTTCTACTGTTTAAACCCATAAATCTTCAGATTTAGCATTTCCGTGTGCATGTTTGTGGGTCGGGCTTCCCAACCAAACTGAAAATGGGCCCCCCTAAAAAATCATATAGAATGACTTATTCTGTTCTTTCTTTTATTTTGGGGGGATGAGGTTTGACTTCGATGACAGAAAGACGTAATGCCCGGAAAACTTCTAATCAATTGGCATTATAACAGTGATAAATTAATAATGTAGGTTTTCATCAAAATTCACAGAGGGTTTTGATTGATTAAAGTTTTTTTTTTATATCATATTTTAGATTTTCCGTTTTTTTTTTTGTTATAAGTTAGAATATGAACAATCAAAGTCAAATTAGGAGATTTCTTTAAAGAATATTTTATGGCTATAAAGGAAGAACCTACAAAGTGATAATAACACTTAGCCATGAAGGACCAAGACTTGGCACTAATCTAACTGTTTGTTTCCAATGAAATCTCATTTGTTGAAACAGTTTAAAGTCTAGTTTACTTTTGATTCGGGTTTTAGCTGGAATGGGATTCTCCCATATGGGGGAATGGCCATTCCCGACCCCACCCCAAGGAATGTGATTCCTATTCCGATCCATTTATTTAATTATTTTTTTTACAGAAAACAGCTTATTCGATTCCAACCCTTATTCCATTAAAGTTTGAAGGCTGTGTAAGTAATTTCTTCAACCTCCATACTATCCGCTGCCACCACGGTTGACCCCATCTCCGGTGAAGTAAGACAACTGTCAACCAACCCCATATCTGGTGAGTTAAGACCGTCGTCGACCATCCTTCGTTTTCTTCTCCTCCAAATCAGCCACCACCATTGCCCATCTCTTCAATTTCTGGATTTCTGTAAATATCAGAAACCAAAAGGTAGAAGCATGATGTAAGAATGGAGTTAAGGAAGTTGATGGATCAGAGAAATTCATCAAGGAAAAGAAGTTTCAGGTCATCGATCTCAGCGACATGTCTATGGAGTCTATCCCCAATCCATCTCTGAATCTCGCCACTATCAGCAACCTAGATATTTTTGATTAGCCTTTTGGCTTCTATTTTGCTTAGCTCTTGGAGGTCTTTTTATCTCCACACATCAAATCTAAATGCAGTAAAATGAGTCTTAGGTTGTATGGCTTCTAGTTCTTCTATTTCTTTAAAAATTATTCTTCCTCTTGGTTTCATACACTCTACAGGTCATTTGATAATATTATTTTATTTCTTGTTGTATTTTAATGTAAATCCAAACATGTCTATAAACAGAAAATCTTCTAAGCATGTCTCTTCTTCAGTTATCTTGTTTTATTCCTAAATTTAGTTTATCTATTTTTTTCTGCCTAGTCATTAAACAACGATACTGTTGAACATTGTCATGTCAAATTTTCACTCAAACCAGCTTAAATCTTCCCCAAACTCGATTGGGTGTTTATCCAAACTCCAAGATCTTGAATGTCTCTGACAACCTCATCAAATCCCTCCTGAAAACTATCGAGAATAGCTCCAAGATCTTGAATATCTCGGACAACCTTATCGAATCCCTCCTTAAAACTATCGAGAACATTTGCATTCCAATCAAATGCAGCTTTAGCCTTGTTTGTTTCCTCTTAACTCTTAATTCTTATATCTTAAGAGGAATCTTTTAATTTTAACAAAAAAATGGTTGTTTGTTTCCTCTTATCTCTTATCTCTTGAAGTGCAATCACATAACTTTTTATTTTTCAATTATGCCCCCAAAAAAGACCAACAAAAATCTCTCATATATGAGGTCAAAAGAGATATTTGATAATTTTTAGAACACAAAAAAATAGTTCGTCAATACCAATATACCTCTTAATGTAATTATTACATTTTTAGATGTCAGAGTTCAGAGCAAACAAACAGGCTCTTAGTTACAAATAAAATTGTATTACAAACAAATTAGGATTGAAGTTATGAAAAGCTTCAGACATTGTTGTTAATAAAATCAATGAAAGATTTAGATAGTTTTCTTTTGAGATTTATACAGAAAACAGGATCCTGTTGGAAAATGTAAGTTGACAATGGTTGGTAACATCCAAGTTGGTTGTTGGAAGACCAATGGGAAGGCTGTTGGAAGAGTCACCCGTCTGGGAGCTTAGCTTTGGGTTCTGCAGGTTTGAACAAGTTAGTGTGGAACTGGAAATTGACTACAGGGGAGAGCTGGATAGGAGTAGGACCACCAATTTGGGGACAGCGTGAAAGCCCTTTTTGTTGACGTTTACCTCTATATATACGTCATACCTCTAGGTGTTGTTATCTGACGTTAAGGGTTAACTTAAGCCATTTCATAACATGGTTGGTTGGCAAGTCAGGCCGTCGCCCTCACTCAGCTCTACT